TTGAAAGAATAGAAAGATTTTTTTCTAAATACCCTCTATGTCATCTATTACCCATTCAATGCGAACAACCGCTGTTTTACATTTTTTTCGTACTTTCTTTTGTTTTTGGGAAGTTCTCTCCACGCATGAGAGACTGTTGTCAACTAAAGCAGCGGTTGTCTGCTTTAAAAGGGAAAAAAGGCGCATTAAACAATTCCATTAAATATATATTTTCTTTGCTCCATAATAGACATATGACAACCCCGACAATGGTTTGTAAAAGAAAAACTCGAAATTTAATCAAGAATTCCTTAGTAACATCTGAGGAAGGGTAGGCACAGCAGTTTTGTAACCTTAAGTAATATTTAGAATATATATCTATTTGATAAAAGGTTGTCGGATAAAATGGCGAATGTTAATTGTCAAACGGGATTKCACAAMCGAAAGTAGCCATGGGTTTTACTAATTGATAAGAAATTACAACTGATTTATACCGTAAGATGGTCTGTGGTAAATATTGCCTCTATTTAGTCTTCTTCATTGAAATGATTACAATTCCGAGGAAMGAAAACATCGTTTAGRAAACCCAAATTTTGGATTAAGAAACGAGTCTGAAGACCGAATACAATATTTCGACTTTAATTCAAAGTCATAGTCATGTAATGGTGTTAATATTTACAAGTGCAGAAATTTATTAAAAAAGCTGTAAGTCCCTTGAGGCCTTCAGTCCTTCGAAGTAAGTATTTTAGTCTTCTTCGTATGCAAGGTTTATCCAATAAGTGAAATTTAATTTTTAAAAACAGTTTTACCATAGTCCCTTTCGGTCGTGTTATCTGCCTTCGACAATCGGCGTTCTCCCCGACAACGTTTTTGAAATAGGTGTATGTCATAGAGTGTGTGTGATTGTCAGTGATAATATAAATAAGTCCTTCGAAGTCAGAAGGTTTTATAGATCTAGTATGCTTACCTATATTTTTTAAGTAAAAATTTGTAAAGCCCATTGGGGCCATATATGTTGCATCCATCGTAAATTTATAAGCATTTACCTAATAAGGAACATGCATTACGTAATAACTATAATTATATGCATTACATAATACACGTATGTAGCAGAATTCAAACACCATGAAATAGTCAAGTGCTCAATAATGCTGAATTGTTTGAGTTCCTTTGTTTTCTATTGTCTGTCTATTATATTGTCTGATCAACACAATAGGACYTTCGCATTTAATGGTAGAGTGAACGCACTTAATCCGTGCAACTGT